TTGAAGGTCAATACGTGCATTGAACTTAAGTAGCAATACAACATGTGCTATTGTAACATGGTGATAAAAGTATTGGAAGCCAAAGTTGACCAGGGTAAATGAATTTCCGAGTATTGCGAATATATAACCAGTGGTGCATACAGCGGTGGGGGGGTGCATGAAGAATTTTGCCCCCGATGGATTTGTTTTGGGTTTTGTTTTTCTAATAATATTTCATTGATGGGTCGGGAAGGAAGTAATCCGTATATTTATCAAATATTAGCACCAAACCCTTAGAAATTAACACCACGAAATAAAAGCAAGAATGTCGGGAACGTAAGGCTTTTAATTTTTCTCCCCAACATCCCCAACATCATGCTGACTAGGCATAACGCCGCATTCGCTTTTAAATATGCCCCCTGACACCAAAAGCTGGATATGATGCTGCATATGCCTATTTTAAGGTGATACCTTGAGGAATGGCAGGCACACGATGAAGATAAATACAAGATAATTTTACAATTCTTCTTCCAATGAGTAACTCTCTGCTGTCAACTCCAAATGGAATGACGGTTTCAAAGGAAAGTAAAACTTTTGACAACTCTCACATTTTTGACCGAATTCGTAGTGAATCTCCTGCATCGTTGCATTGATCGGAAGTACTGTGCCATTAGGTCTCTCAAATTCATCATTCTTGTCTCTATTCCAGTTGCCGTACAGTCCTCTGGTCCGCCCCTTCAATTTTTTCTGCAGCGTGGTGAACACGTTGAGCACTCCTGCCGTGGTAGACACATCTAAGGACACTCCACATTGGAAATGTACGAGAACGTTCTTGGCTACTACGCCCGACTTGTTGACGTCCCGGTAGAACACCATCNACACCTGAGAAAAAATATGAGATCAATTTCAGTGGCTCATAGTGAGCTATTAGAGCAAATAAACTCAAACTCTCTACAAGTCAGAGATTAAAGAGCTAACAATGTTTTGAAGATACCCCATGGAATTCCTTTGTCAAAATATCAGAAAAAGAGAGTTTGAGACACCAGGTCGCTCTTAAGCCAAACATACTGATCTAATCTATTTCAATAGGCTAGTTTCAATCTCCCTTACGTGCACAAGGCCACCCCCAAAACTATTTTTTCAGACAAAAAGCACATTGTAACATCACACTTTAAAATTAACGGTTAGTTTAGTTGATTTACCCTTAAGATCAACTTGAGCGATCCGTGTCTCTTCAAATTCAAGCATAGTCCATTCACTGTCGTTGCTTTCCTGACGATACCACACGTCTATACCACGCCGATTACTAAGCTCAATTTGGATCTGATCTGACATACCCGCTTCGAGGGCCACCAAAGCAGTAACAACAGTTGATGGTAATCCTATTGGCAGTGGAAAACAAGATGTAAAAGTTGCACCTAACTCTTGTAACGTGTTCGATTTACATCCACTTGTACTGTTTTGATTTAAAAACGTGAAATTGCACATGGAGAACATACGCGCAGTTAGCCCTAGACTCGGGGCCAGTCTACTGGACTCCCTCTGTATAGCCCAACAGCAGTCCAATCAAAAGTTGGAGATTCAGCGGAAATGCATTCTATGAAACCCAAGTATAAACCAGCCTTTACAGAACACTAAATGAACAAAGCCAGAAAACCAGAGAGAAACTAATAAAAATCGCACCCCTGTACATTTTGAATTTATAAGTGAAAAGGTCTATTGCACAGCTAGTATCATAGCCTTTGTCCAAGTCTACAGTTCTGGTTACAGCCACTTCTCCGAGGATTGTATGTAATTTCAAGCCACATCAGAGTGCTTTGTATACGGCCATATTATGGAATTTCATATAAGCTGTCGCCCGTCGTCCGTCGTGTGTCACCTGTCGTGCATCGCCCGTGTTTTTTTCGTCACGATTGCGTAGTGGTATTTTTAACGTTGACCCTTGATTGTTTCACATGTACATGTACTTGTTCGATTGATCCACCATGCTTGACTCTCATTTTAGCAGTAGAATTAGAAGATGTATTCGTTTTTGCAGTTGCGCCGAACTCCACTTGAAAGAAGAAATAATACCACTTTTTTGTTACATAAATAAATCAACAAAATAGACTTTTGTTAGGCTGGATTGTTTTTCTCGATATCGGTTGGCAGATTTCTTTCTAGAATTTGATAAAAACACATTTTTACAGTATGCAAATTAGAATTAGACTGTAGATAAGTTGGCCTGAACATTTTTGCTGAAAATGTTTCCCCCTAAAACACTTGGCTGAATTCTAAGAAAGGTGAATTTTTTTGTGTGTCGAGGGGCATGGGTAGTCTAGCATTATTGGCATTAATTATGGGAGTAGAATATGCTTTGCAGGTGGGATTTGTACTGTCGTTATTGGGAAAAGATCCTTAGAAGTGAATGGAATCATCATAATAAACCCTGGCTTCTGCAGGTCCTATGCAACACATTTGACGGGCGACGAACGACTCACGACGGGCGACGCACGACGGGCGACGCACGACGGATGACGCAAAACGGATGACGCACGACGGGCGACGGAAAATGGCATGTTGGGAACTGGTAAATGGCAGTATTGGGACACAACAAAAAGCAAAAGGCGACGGACAACGGGCGACGGCAGATAAAGAATTCCATACCATATACACTTATGCTATGCGGTTTCTCACTGCATGTTATCAGCTCATACCTATATCGAAGGCAGCGTTCCTTGCCTGCGCAACAAAGGAACCATTGCAAGTTTCTAACAGAGTGTACTCGCCAACACCATTGAACGTGTACTCTTTGCCATCCAAGCTAACCAGGTGAGGATCACCGGCTGCAATTGCTGTAACGAATTAGATTAAAAAACAAATGAATTACTTATACTAGCCATAGAATCCCCCCCCAAAAAAAAAACCCAGCAAGTAAAAGACAGTGCTTAATAGTGACGTCACATAGACCTATGGTGCAGCCACCACGAGGGTCTTTAGTCATGACTGGGGTGTGTTTATTTATAGTTTGTTTCAATGGTACAGCGGGTCATTCAAAGGCAGGGACGTGAGAAAGGCATTCAACGTCCGATCTAGAATGTAGAAAAGGGAAAACTGAAGGAGGATGTGCTCCAGGCAGACATCAAGCTATGCCCTCCTTGCTGCTACACGGCGTTTCCACGACATTAGTACAGGATACTGTGCAAATGAGACGCTTAGCCTAGTCAAACATGGGCACTTAAGGGAGGGGAAGAAAATCATTAAAAGGGGTCAAATAGGACGTGGCCCTGGTGGTCAAAATTGAAAGGACACACTTAAAGCGAAAATGAAAAAGAAAACCTATTCCACACTACAATATGCTGTTATAATTTGTTTTCACGACGAACGACGTTTTGAAGATGACAAATTCGTTCGAACAATGGTACTTTTGCGGATACAAACAGGCAGAATGCTACCGTTTATCAACCCAACACAGCCATAGCAGCCATCGGAGGCATGATATTTCTGGGAGAGGGCATGTGCCCACCCCTCCTTCCAGGCTACGCCCATGATGGCAAAACAAAGATGAAAACCAGTACTTGAGACTTTCAGCGGACAAAACCACAAGGAAAAAAGTGTGAGCCGCGAGCTGGACCAAGAGTGGGCAAACTTTTCAAAGCAACGAAGACTCCTTCAGTGGGAAATGCACTTTGCCAGTTCACAAACGACTATGAAACACGCGTTATTCAGTTGCCTCGTTACCAACCAAACGAAAATTCCTGCCCAAGCTCTTTCCAATCGTATGCTTTAGCTCAAGGTGTATACGTTTTAAGTATAAACAAAATATAACAAAATACGAAAACCATACGAGCTCCATAAAAACCAAATTTACCGTGTCTTAATGAGAACCTGGCTAAGTTGAAACCAGTACAAAATGCACGTGGTCCTACCGGGTGTGGGCGCTATGTAGCCCTCGCATGTCTGAGAAGGCCTCACATATTTATACTGCTCACACTTATCCGCAGAAAACACACAGCAGTGTTCCATCGGTAGAATATCAGATAGCCAGTGGGAGAGGTAGGGGACACGACCAGCAACCTTGAAATAAAGGTAACGTCTAAAAGTTGAAAATGTTTGCTTTAATTTTGTACAGAAACACAAATCTTAACGATACTTGATTTCGATGTGATCCTTTACCTTGTATGGCAACACCCCATAATAGTGCCTACGCTGAGCAAAACCACCACCTTGCGACCTTAAGACATTCAAAATGTTGTCATCCTTGCCATAGCAACACTCTTGTCCACCTTCCATTTCACTGTGGAAATAAATCGACAAGTACTTTAACTGCCGCACAACATCTTCATGTGCCATCATTCAGGTGTTTATGTGTGAAACAGCATGAGTTTGTGCCACTTCCAGTACAGAGAGGTTACTTCAGCATGGTCCAGTGTCTAACACTTTAAGTATCCCCCAGTCTCGGTTCAAAGACCTTCCAGTAGTATTCTGTGACACGAACCATCACACTGTTACAGGGTGCTTATCGCCAATGCCAAAAGACCCTCAATATAGGACTTCAATAAATTTACTGCTGTCTGTAGTTTGAAGTAACCCATTGCGACTTGAAGGAGGAATGCAAAGGTCTTGGAACCAGGACTAGCATCTCCCAAGAAATCAAAACTAAAGATGAAATTTGCGTTTTGCAATTTCTTGAGTTTCTAGCAATCAGACTTACAAGTGGCGCAAACTCAAGTATTTTGTTTGCTGGTGCATATTTCTATATTAACAAAACAAATCAACTGAGATGAAATAAACGCATCATCAACCTGAAGCTGTCCTCCTTGAAACCACGTATGAAAGTACTACATGCTGACACTTTTATGTTAAAATTTGAGAGTTTTTCGGTGATCCCATTTTGGAGTACACACTGTAGTTGACTTTAGCATCAGGAAGGTGTTTAATTAATCCAAACTGACACGTATTCATTTCTGAAGCGTGCCCCGTGTTTATCTTTGAAAATCCATTTTCAAGTACGTTATATTCTTTCAGACATTTATTGCGTTAATTAATGATTCTGCATTACACAGAAATTCCAGTGGTCATGCTGGTTGTTGGTTAAACGGACCGAAACGTTTCAAAATAAAAAAATGAGATGGAATGAGGCGGCTTATTAAATGCGTTTTGTTTACTTTTTGAAGTGTGTTTTATATACCTTTTGTTTCACTCTACTTGTTTAGTATTGCAAGTTTTATGCTTGTTTGTGTTTGCTTGTTTTCTGTTTCGTTTTAGGGGGCTGGGATTGGATTGAAGGTGGAGGTGAGGTTTGAGGTGATTCACCCGTACCTTGGTGTGTTGGCTCTGACGCAGTGCACAGCCCCCGGTTTGAACTTTTCACAGTTACGTGGGGTATCTAGGTTGCACAGGGGATGTGGGCTGAACCGGCCATTGTCGACCAGAGCCTGGGTCAGAGTGCACGGGCAGGGCTCAGTTACTGCGAGGAACTCCAGGTCCAACTTGGCCCTTTCCAGCCAATTCCCACACCATGTTGAAGGATCAGGAACAGGGTAGAGCCAGTGGAGGTTATGGATGTCGCTCCACATCCCAGGTAAGGCCCTCAAAATGCAAAAACGTAGCAAGTCTTCAGCTACAGCTCGAAGCAAGGATAAAACGATTCTAATCGCGAAATAATAGTGGTATTGAAGTCACGAAGTGACTTATCAACCAATCCAACGATAGAAAGCAAATCTACACTGGAAAGTAAATTGCCTAACAAAACCTTACAAGTGCCCATTGATGTTATATGTTCATTCTTGGTGCGGTAGCTGTACGTCACAAATCGCCTCATGGTTTGCTGCCGTTGCATGCACAGGTTTTGAACCTTACAATGGCTTGCAAATCAAGATGTGTTTAAAGGTACCGAATGGAGCAGCCTCTTTATTGAAGTCAACTCAAACTCTCTTCAAAATTTGTGACGGGGAGATTCAACTTAAACGTCAATTCCATCATGTGGCTGGTGCATGTATCGGTTAGAACAGGCAACTGAAATATTCTGTGTAAATGCACGGTATGACCACGCTGGAATAAAAATGTAAATTCCATTGTACAGGTGACAAAACATTCTTAACTAACAGCTGTTGCAAGTATTTTGGGGTATTATTTTTGTGTTATATAAATCAAATAACGCATATAGTTAGCATCTCATTAATTTTGACGTACCATTGCACTCATAGACATTATTTGTCTAATGTCATCAACTTACAACTCATTTTGACCTTGTGGTCCGTCCTGAGAAACCCGGACAACACCAACGGTATACGTCACTCCCTCTAGCGGCTGAGGGCGGCTGAACTTGAACATGCCATCTCTGTAAGGAATCATTTGATTGCTGCGGTATACCAAAACAAGTTCAACCGTCCCGGTTGGCAGGTCCTCCTTGTAGCTATAGACATAGATCCGAACATTGTCCATGTAGTCTTGGAGTAGCTCGGTATCCCACATGATGGTCACTGGTTCTTGCTGGTTCCATTCAGCTGCGTCCAATATCTTGACAAGTGGCGAGATGAACTCTGGACTCACTGTTTATGATCAAACAAGTATGAAAAAACTGTTGACTCGACGTGTCTCATGCAAAAATTTCACGGGTGTTTTATGCAGCCATTAAGTCTTTATTTAGATGCCCATAGGTGTGACATGTGCTCGACAACCCGGGCATGTGTTTTATGCGCGGGTACTTACGGTATGTAAAAATGCCAGTGAAATCGAAGGATTCCCCGCCATTTCTTGACATCTTCAGTGGCAATCGACCGACTTCAAATACCAGTGGGGTCACGCAGCTGGCTGTAGTGTTAGATACTACTTGCCCGTATACCTCGGCATCAGCAAAGCGGCACACAATGGTGGAAGATGCATCGAGACACGGTCTCGATATGTGGACAACATCTCCACCGAGCATTGAGCCAGACACGGGGAAAACAGTCACGCTTCCTGAATATGGAGGAGACTAACTGATATGAAAGGCGTAATGTTAGAAAAGAAAGTCCGTGTCATCAAAGTTGTCATATATCCATCTTCATTTCTCCTTCAAATACCCTATTATTAGTTGCACATTTAGAATCCAAATAGTTGGAGCCTACAAATGAAATAATACAATCCTGTACGTGCAGTTTTTTGTGTGTTACCTTACATGCCTAGTGTTTGATATTATTGTTGATATAAACAGGGCACCGCACCTTCAGTAATGCACCCAGTATCAATGATATTGCTACTGTCGATGCGAAACAGAAAGCGTCCTGTAGTGCCGATATTGGAATCTTGGTCAATGTCAACGATCGTTCCGGTTCTTGATTCGGGAACAGCGTAGAAATTGAAGCCATCGCCAGCATTGAAACCAACCTGGGTGGAGGACGAAAAGTTCTCCTTTGCATCGACCGTTTCAAAAGTTTGTTGCGTAGGCTGCGCTGGAAGAGAACTACTAAGATAGAATACCTGTGATATCGGTAACATGAACTCTCATTATGTCCTCAATTAAAAAAAAATAATTTGTTGGAAGTCTTTTCGGACTGGCTGCAAAAAATACAAAGTCTTGAATCACAAACATGCATAATTCAGTTACTTTGAAAGCTGTTTATTCACTGGCGTAACTAGGGCTAAACGGCCGAGGGGCACCCAAAGAGCTTACATGCTTAAGGGGGCAACACAAGAAAATAAGCTGAAGCTGAATAGATATAAAAATTCGACGGAGAACATTCACAGATTTCAAAAGGGGGGAGGGACGTGGCCCAGTGGCGTCCCCCTCCCATAGTTAAGCCACGGTGTGTATTTAATTTCTCTCCTTTTTTCTCTTGAGCTGGAAGGTGCGGGACCCCGTCTTTCTATAGTCTCCCATGCACTTGCAGGCGCGGTTCTAGAGCCTAGTTTTGAGGGAGGAGGCAGGGAGCTTTACCCATCGCACTTGACATCACCTTTTAACTGGGAGTCTAAAAAGATCATAGACTATTCATCTAATGTTACCAAATTAAACGCAGAATAGCAAATCCAATATTTCCACGCTATTTTTTCTTCATGGGGGGGTTAGACGAAAGTCGGTCAGCCCCCTAGACCCCCTGCCCGTAAAACCACTCCTCTAGCCAGGAATTTCTCTATACGAACATCTGATTTGTGCATGCAAGGCTCGTAACGGGGGCAAACTTTGTCACCAAAGAGACGGCTGCGAGATTGCTCCGTAGCAGTCAGCTACCACTGTTGACATGAACGGGCCAGACTCTTCTGGGGAATCTAAAAGGGGACTGTCGTTCAATTCTTCCCTGTCGATGGAAAAAAAAAGTGTTCTGTACCAGATACTTGTCTTCTTCCCCAATGATGGTTGTAGTTCAGGCAGTAGGTCTAAATAGCCCTCGATGACCAAATCATTTGCAAATATCTTTTGCTCCAAAAGGGATAGGCTGGGTGAAGCATTCTAATTACGAAAAAAGTAGTGAACTGCTGGAGCCCTCGTAGTGTTGATAATTTCAGCAGGAAGTCTTTTCCCCAAAAGTATTAGATTACCCCTAAAAAAGTGATCTACAATAGAAGAGAAGAGGATTTAATGCGCATTTTAAACACCTTGATGAGTAACAATTTCTTGATTTTTTTAAAGGGACTTCATCAACAATTGGCCTGCAATCTATTTGGTAACGATGCGCATGCCAACAAGGGGTGATGTTAATCAGGTGCCTTGTGATGAACGTCTAAAGGTCCACTTTCAGCTTTTGATTAATGATAACTACTTGTCTTCGTCGAACTTTCTATGTGGAATAGTCAGACTGAGGTTGGGAAATGTTAAATACAAATCATACTTGAGCGGGAGTCCCTCCAAGTCCAGAGTTATCACCACCACTCACTAGGCTGGTAGTCCAATTGATGTCCTCATAATTGAATATGGCGAAGGAATGTCTGCCGTCAGTTACCAGTGAGGCTTGAAATGTATTTGTCTGCGAAGAGAACAACATTTTACAGAAAAAAAGATAATTATTATCCGCCCTTAGTTGAGTTTTCCAAGCGGGTTCTTGCATGCGTTCTATGTATAGGTACGCTGAGACCATACATTATGGAGTGAATTTGTTACGTGTATTCAGCGTGCTCTGCGTCAAACGCGCCACTGATCTCCATTATCTCGCGTCACTGATCTCCATTATACAAAACGGGCGCCTATGTGTTCAGTACCAAAAAACACGCTCTCTTTTGTTCCGCTTGAGGGGGATATCACGCATGTTCATGCCCCTCACTTAGTTGGTGCGCATGCGCACTGAATCCCCCTACACTGCCAGAAGCCAGTAAAATGGTTCTTGACTCGGGCAGGTGCACCCTGAAAGTAATCGATCAATATCAAGCTCAGATAAAGTTGTTTGCCCTCATTTCCCTGCCAATTAGATTTTAAACACTCAAAGTCCCTTTTGCCAACTTGCAAACTATAAAAACTTATTTTTTGCCGACCATTAAGACGACCATACTTGAGACAGGTTTATGAATAAGGAAACGACCCTCTACAACCATTTACAGGGAGAGCTACCAGGGCGGGCGCGTACACTTCCAGTAGACCGTAGGATGATCGCTCAAAATGTTACAAACCGTGATCCCCTCTTTAGGACCACACAATATTTGTCAGATAATATGCAAAATATTACGAAAAATCCGATTTGGAATGTTGGCTTTCACAAAACCTGAACACTTTGTCAAGAATATATTAAATTTGGCAACGGTTTTACGATCAAGAAAGCGAGCAAATAAGGATTACACCATCTAGTATCAACCAATGAAATTCCTCGCTGATCCTCATCTTTCACGTCTTCGTAAAATAATACGCTAACCCAAGATGACGCGACGGTAGAAGACGAGGTTTCGTCGGAAACGCAGCCGAATTTTTGTTGTATGCATGTTTACACGGATGAATTTGGGAAGCTTGTAGCTGTTAAAAGTTCAAGTTGGAGTAAGTTTATCACCTGCGGTTACCAGTGGACGCAGATTCCTGACTCAGTTGAGGCCAAAATTGTTGTAAAGTTTGCCCTCACACCATGTGAATTTGAGCGACGTGGCAAACGATTCGGCACTCTGGCGCGGGTAAATTGAAGCTGGCTATCTCCATCGTTGCCACCAGAGGTTTGGCAACGTAAATAAAATGGCAGAAAAACTACAGAAGATGCCTATAATGGTAAATTTTGTCTTTCAGTTTGTATCTTTAGTTGAGTATGCTGTTACTGTTATAAACATGCATGACTAGACGCGTACAGGTACTTTTTCCCCTCTGCCACACGCACACAACAGTGCATGACGATTACATGCGCTTCTCCAGTTTTATTAATTGTGTTAAAGACAGTTTTAAAGGTAGTGTTTTTTCAGGTTTAACAATTAGGCCTCTATTATTTTGTACATGGTGTATCACAGTGGTTTTACTTGAGGTACATTTGTCATTCAATACACATACGTACAGTTAGGTTGTCAAGATGGCTGAAGCATTGGGGCAACTCGTACCCAAAATTTCACACCCGGGACAACTCAGACCTGAGGCATCTCGTACCCGGGAAACTCCGTACAAACTCAACAATTTCAACAAGGCTAACACACACAAAACAGGCTCTACACACAAAACAGACAGCTACGTTATCAGCAATTTCAAAACACGGATTGAATATGCTATTCTATAATTTGATGTGATGTTGCCACAAGCTATGATAAAATGTAATTTTCTCTTGGGTTATGAGTTGTCCTGGGTATGAATTATCTTTGGTACGACATGTCCCTGGTATGAGTTGTTCAGGGTACGAGTTGTCCAACATTTGATGGCTAACATCCAACATAAGCACTGCACAAGAGTGACAAATTCTCCACAGTAGAGTGGTCTGCAATTTTTTCAACTTAAAAAAAGCTTTCAAATAATTAGTTAATATTTTACCTTCCATGGAAGTTAATATTTTTCAGGAAGAAGTACATGTACTAGGCATGCCTCATTGAAATCATTGGAGTTTTTAAAATTTTCTTTTGTTATAGATATGCTTAAAATTCTAAGTTTATCAAATTAACAGCCACACTGGGAACTCCAACTGTTTCATTTGGTTGTTCAACCTGCCATGTCATGTGGGTTTTATTTCAGCTGGAGATGCTGACTCTGAATCTGCATATGACAAGGATACTCCAGGCCCGTCCCCAAAGAAGAAAATGCCTCTGAGGTCCAGCTTATCACCAACAAAGTCTCACCAGGAGAGGAGTCATGTGCTGCTAAGTGAATGTATAATCTGTCAGCGGAAGCAGTAAACACGGGACAGGAGAACTGGATCGTGACGGAAGGTTCCTCTTTTGAAATGTGAACAAATGCACGCACAAACCTTCCTTGCAGCAGCAGAGAAGCAACCTCATCAGCGCATTCTCACTCAGGTGAAGGGGAGGGACATGGTCACCATTGAGGTGCAGTGTCACAAGAACTGGTACAAAGAATTTACACTGTGTGTAACGGTAACCAGTTCAACAACAGATGATAGTGACTTCAATTATGCACCGTCATACAAAACATTTTGTGAGACAGTCATCGAGCCAAGAATAATAAGAAATCAAGAAATTTTAAGGCTTACAACATTAAATAAGCTGTTTATTAAGGCAGTGAATGATATTCCGAATCTGGATGGTCTTCATACAAGACTCACAACCTAAAAAGAAAACTGAAGAGAACATTCCCTCAGCTGAATTCAGCCCCAAAACAAGAATGAGAGTGACATTGTGTGCACAAATGAGCTACAGGTGATGTGACGAACATCGCTGAATATGCTGTGCTAGCAGCAGTAGCAGTATAGATGACGATACCAGTGATGGCAAAGATTCTTCCACAGTTGCTACTGCTACAGTCCCTTCCCTTCGTGCTTCCACTGGATCAAGCATGACAGCACCGAGTGAGGAGCAACCATTTTAACAGTCTCGCCTTCGTCTCTTATTCCATGCCTCACTGATAAGATTGAATATTGAAACATTGAAAGCGGGGTGGCATACATTGCTTTGTTTTGTTTCCGTTTTCTCACCTAGGTATTAATTTTCTGCAGCCCAGTTCCTACACATTTTAAATGTACATGTAATTCATATTATATATGAAACACAGTTTGTTAAACCTTGTGAAAGAGCCCTCGTGGTGTTGCATTTCCACCTGCCATGGACACATTATTTGCAGATAACGTACATGTATTTCCTACAGTAGCCTTGTCTTTGAAATGGGATCAATAATTGTGTACTTCTTCAGGCTGATTAAATTGGGATCCTGGAAAATTGTTCCTAAAACCTATTCCCCCTTTATACACGTATGTGTATTTATCCTTCGGCATTAGCTCCTGAAGTAAGATATTGATTTGCACCTGTACAGAAATATACTGTACCCAGCATCATGAAATGGGACATGCAATGACATTGAGTATTTCCTGTATCAAAACAGATCGTGTGCTGTTTGAGCAAACACAATTTCATTATGATATTACTGCCAAACATACATGTCCACTATGACAGGAAGAGTAAGGGAAAAAAACTGAGTATGAGAACTTGATATGCATGCACACTTGTATGAAATTATTAATATTTTCTTCTATGAAAATTATGTTAAAATCTTGTGCCTTTCTTTTTGGCAGATTCTCAAGACTGGGATAGAAGAGACCCAGTCGACTGTCAGATGGCCACCAACAGCTGATGACCTCACCACAGAGACTGCAAAGAAGGCCATTCCACACTTGCTCTTCAACTTCCTGGTGTGGTGTGTTGATGCCTCGAGTGAAGCTGATGTATCTACATATGTGGAAGTCAGCAAAGATGTCGGCAGAAAGCTGCTCTCCATTGCAAAAGATCTGGTGTACATGAGTTCAAAGGGTCGTGTAATGCTGCCAAAACACGCCTCTTCAGCCATAACAGTTCGTCACTTGACAGGGTCAGCAAGGCTCATCGGCATCTTAAATGGGTATGGACACTGTGTGTCTCATTCAATGGTTCTCGAACACGATAAAGCTTTGGCAGAACAAGAGCTGACAAAAGGAGATGAGGCTCTGCCGGATGGTGTACAACAATTGTATGACTTTGCTTAGGAGACTTTGTCTGGTAAAGGCACGACTCAAGTAACTAACGGCATCATCGTACAACAAAGGCAAGAAACTGGTTAGTCAGGTGTATCTCAGCCTGCAGATCCTTCTTCACGTAACTCCCATAGAAGATCCCTAACATCTCAACTTGTATATTCAATACCATACTATGGCGGCACCAAGAAAGGACCAGATCCTTAAGGGAAGAATGCGGACACACACGAATCCACCTATCTCCTTGCCCAGCATAGTGCCAAAAACTCAGATTTGGCCTTTGTTCTGTCAAGAACCCCAAGTCAACAAGGATGTCTGCTACCAAGCCGGAGAGGCGACAATACCCTTTGAAGTTCAGCATTCCTCCTCTCATTTCCCATGTTTTCTACCTCCCTGTAATGGATGCCTCACCGACTGAGGACACAATCCACACATTAATAATGAAGAGTGTGCAGATTGCAAACACGTTGCATCAAACATCTGTGGAATTCAAAAACGTGGGTAATCAAAATACGTAGGTAGGTAATATTGGCACATTACACAGCTTTTACGTAATAAACTGTACATTTTGCATAGCTAGCGGGACCGTTTGTGTGTTGTTACCTACTCATGTTAAAATAATAAACTACTTTTGAAAACAAAATTACAGAATAGTTGTGTATTTCATTTTGGCCAATTAAGCCTACACCATTGGTAAAATCCTGAAAATCGGACTACCGTATAATCCTGAAATATCTTACTTGAAAAAAAAGTACACAACAGTCTCAATCAGTCTGTAAAATATTTCCACCCAGAATGCTGTAGTTTTCCAGAAAAAAATGGTGTTCTCTTTTGTTACGATGGTCGACCGACCGTCGCAATAGAGTTATTTTCACTTCGCACTTCACATCCTTAAATAGGTGCCAAAGGTAGAAAATAAAATAAATCCGTGTGAAGTTCAATTTTATATAAGGAAAGGTTTTTTTTAACGGAAAACTTTGCGAATTCAAATCATCCCTAGATAATATGGTGTAATCCAATATGGCGGCAGTTTCCGAACAAGGTGATTTTCGTCAACAAAATTACGATTTCCACACGTCAATCCTCCCTCGTCATAAGTCGTCATTATTCTTTTTTTTTTAACTTATAAATATTAATGGCTCAACTATGAATGGTGTTTTAGACTTTCATCGACGTGTGAACTGACATGAAAGTGCAGTTATAAGCACGATCATATAGGCCTACTCGTGATATATAGGCCTACTCGTTTCGATGTCACGGACACGAGTCGACTGCTGTGTTCCTGGATGAAGTTTTTCCATGAATCTGCAATGCTACATTGTCGAGGAGGCGCATTACCAATTCACTGATTACTCCTAGCCGTTGAAAACCGCTCCTTTCTTAATTAAGGGAATGAGAACCTGCCACGCTTGTTTCCCACCCTGAAACCGCGGACGATATTCGCTTGTACTACGAACGCCCTGTAGTGCATACATTTTACGCGAGATAAACTACAAGACCTTCAATTTAAGCGTTGAAAATGCCGCGCTGTTTTTCTCGATTTTTCACAAAGCAGTGGACTCAATCATGAAACAAGTTAGTGTAATGTAAGTTGCAGTGAATTTTAAACACCGTAATCAGCCAATCTTGTGAAATTACGACAAAACACCAATGGTGGAAAATGTTCAAACTGTCTCCGATTTTTCTCTGGTTTCTTTTGCGTATTTAGAAATAATTACAGCACTGGAATGAAAGCTACAGCAAAAAACGTGGTAAAAGCAGGAAAGCTGAATCTGAGGATGAAGCTAGGTAAATTTGCTGTCTTTTTCCATTTCTCATGAATCTTACTCCCCATTAAAACTCACTATTTTCAAGGCGTCACATCTGGCTCCATAAAACGGAACTTTGTTCCAGGTTGCAATAAACATCCACTTTGCCGAGAACCTGGACTGATGAATGAATGATCGTCTAACGATGTCATCTGCCTGACGGAAGAGCCTGACATTTTCTGAATTATCAAGAAGTTCGCGATAGGTGACATTGCCACCGGCGGTTGTGTCCACGTCGCACCAAAACACCGCCACCACTAGCTTATCGTCGCCAAGAGGAAACGGTAATGGGTCATAGTCAGAGACCTCCAAACCGAAGGAAAGCAGGCCATTTGTGTTCACCTGTAAATAATAAATAAGATCATAAAGAAATGAGTATAAGGACTAAGATCAATTTAATGGAACACAGCGCCCAAAGTGTCAATTGACCGGAACTCTTACAGTATATTACAGTATATAACTGTCAGGGACGAAATAAAAACACTCGTGCGGACCTCCTAATGCATGCAACGCATGCGTGATGGTGCACTCTACTAACTGGGATCACGTGTTTCGAGAGTAGTGATTGGCCAAAAGTTGCATCTGCGTTAACCTTACTTACCGAGTTCGGACTAGGTATGCAGGGAGGGAAGACTCTCTATGGACAACTATGTCCACAGGACGGAGGTAAGAACTTAATAAGAAAAGATGTGTGAATGGTAGCCTTCTTCAATATTTCTTTCTTTTTTTGTTTGCGTTTATGAGATTGTAGGCCTCCTTGAAACCTCTAGACAAACTTACAAAGAGGGAGTCATAATTGTGATCGAAGAAAGGGAAAAGATTGGATATCGGAACCCTGCCGGAACTCCCATCGTCGTTTGGTGGAAGAAATGTGTCTCCTTCGGCAACTCCGTGGGGGAACATGAGCTCTGCAGAAACAACCCAAACATGCAAACGCTGTAAATTTATCGAAGATTTTTAATTTATTGTTCTCCGTTAATATTTATAGTATCTGTGCTGATTTCCACGTTTAGAGAACTACTTTCATATTTTAGTCCATATCCTTAATTTCACATTACAAATGCCGACGACGGGGTTTTCTGACTTTATTGTTACTGAACACTGAGAATAAAGGTGGTGCAAAGTAGTAGCAGATTATACGGAGAAATGCCTGTCCCTCGCTTGAAGCACCTTTTATTACCCTTGAGTATTTTTTTCCAGTCGGCTTGTGTAACCCTTCCAGCATAACTGAGCAATGCCTTCTCAATCTCAGGAATTCCGTACATCCAGGGTGATGTGTTTATTGACAAAAGGCTGGGGTGTATACGGGTACAGTCCACTAATTCTAGCCCCATTGAAAACAGTGTAAAATCAGCACTGTTCAGGGCCCAATAACATGCATACCAACATCCCCGAGATTTCAGAAACACAAATGAAATTATTGTCTAGTCCCTAATCTTTCAATTTCTTTTCAATATTTTGTGGGTTAACCAATTACATTTTGAATTATTCCTACAAAACAAAATCACCCCCAGAAAAGTGATTTTTCCGATGTCCGATTGCAGCCATTTTTCAAGTGGCAACCCTCATCTTTCTATTTTTCAACCGTAGTTTTTAGCCATTCTGCTCTCGTATGAAAGCTCAAAGACCCAGGGAGTTGATCCTGGCAAGGATTTACACAATCTCACCACTTTGGGGGCCAAACAATCTCCTTTTTCAAAAGATACTGTGGAAGGGGGCACTTTTAATGCTAATGAGCTGGCCAGAAATTCTCACTTGAATTAGTGGTCTGCACCCTTAAGGATTGGACTTGTTGTGGGGACCCCTCTGTCCTATTTCGTGTCTGGTATATAATAGTTGGTTACTGGCCGGCTGCTGTGTTTTGAGTAGATGTAAATCACACCTGTTTGAAAAGGAATGCATATTAAATTGTAATTGTTACACGTTTGTCCAACTGATAAGTGTATATTTTTGAAATTGCAATGCCCTTTTCCCCCATATTCCTCAGAAAATAATGTGAATTTATCTGTCCCGTATTAACTATATTTATAGGTAACTTTTAAAGAGAGCCTTTAAGATGAAGTGATTAATCCGCATTATCTCTTTAAACAAACAGTTTGGGTCATTATTATGCCACCTAAATACAGAGAAGGAACTATTGAAGAGATTCCCCCCCAAAAAAAACAAGTGTTTATCAGTGTATTCATGTATATGCAAGTTATGGAAATGAGCTTAAGGGTCTTGTATGAGTGAGTTCGGAAAGTATCGGTGGCGCTCTTGGTCAAAGGTCAATAGGGCTTAAAAATCCATGCGCTGAATTCGTGCACACCGTATATACGTTGCGCCGTCGTGCTGTGTGTTTTCTGAGCAATCATGAGCGACGGTGGTAAAATTTCTATTGATGAAATTAAGATCTGGAATGTAGAGACACAAAAGTCTTTTCTACGGACAAGAGGAGTTTACTTCTCTGGAAGGAAAGAGGAGCTTGTGGCTTTGGAATTTGCATGCAACGGTCCGGCGTCCCGACCTTGCCCCATTGCCCAAGGCAGTGAGGTGTAATGACGATTTTGTGGAGTCGCTATTGAGCTTACCTAATGGAGATCATCTACCAGACCCAAAACAGCTCGCTAATTTAGAAAGTGAGGAAGTATCTATCAGAAAGTGTCCTCCCACAGTGGCTATGGAAATTGGAAATGGTAATTACTTGGGAAGATACACAAATGACGAATTCACAAACCGGCTCACGAAAGACTACAAAGACCAAAAGAGTATCATCCTATCAGCCAAACAAGGAAACACTTTTTCATCAGATTGGTCTGTAAAATTCAAATTTTTTATAGGATAATACGTTAATTTTCCCACTGCTACAACTGACTTCTTTTGGTATGTTATATGTTTGGGTGCTGTTTAGTAGGGGAAAATTCATGCACCTGTTATTAAGGAAATCTTTCCTTCCTGTTATACTGTCCATGCCAAACATTCTATGTGAAGTATCCAGTTATTTCCCTCCATAGTAATGACAAAGGAAAAGATTAGGAATATAAGTAAACTGTAAAGTTGCCATTCACCTAGAAAAAACTCAACAGTTATGTTTATATATTTATGTATTTATTGAACCAATTGTCCTTGCTGGCAGTCTGGCAGAAATTATTTTCTATTATGTGTGGAAGACCTACAAAACAGACGTTTTTACTGACAGTAGTTACATGTGCATGAAAGACCATCTGCAATAGCTTAAATAGTTTCCACTGGTGGTTCCCCCAGTCTGAGAAAACAAATGCTTATTCAAAAGCTTATAAATGCCCATTCACATTTGTTTCATCTATAACACCTAAAATACTGCCCTCTAGTGTCTAACATAATGAAACCGGTACCGGGCGATGATTTTATCAGGTGAAAACTGGTTCTTCAAGTATTCAAATCACGAGAAAAAGTACTATGTGATAAAAGCGACTTACATATAAAAACAGTAGTTTTGTTTCTTGTCACGTGTAGTATTTGCAAATTTTGGCATAAAGTTCAGCTTTTCACTTTTTGGGTGTAAGTCTATGAGCATTTTGGTTTTGTCTTCCAAGTGGTTTGTGGTGGCTTTCCTTTGAAGCAGATTAAATGTACATGTAGTTATGACAAATCTGCTTCACAGATTCCTTCCAAATTCTGCTTAACTAAAAACACAAGAGGTTTCTGCAAGTTTACGAATGCTGCAACAACAGTTATTATTTCCTGGTCTAATGGGGCCAGTGTTATAGGTAAAGTTTGAATTGCCTTCCCAGTTTCTCACGAATAGTCTCCAAAACTTTAACTTTTTTCTTGCCAGTGAATCAGTGGCCCAAGCTCATTGGCAAAAAGCTTAGTCCACGTGTTAAATATTGCCGAGGCTGTACCATTAGAAATGCCGAACAGGCCAGCGAGAAAAGACACAGTTGGATCTAACCTACACTAAGCTTAAATGCTTAGGCCGTCCTGGTGCCCTTGATTGCTGTGTACCAACTTTTTTTTATCACCATACCAGTACCTCATTGGTTGAGCCTAACCTTCAGTTCAAGGTATGCAAAAAGATGTTCCAGTTTTTGAACACTCTCAAAGCCAGTAAAGTTATTTACCAAACTGTCATTTCTCCAGATGACACCTAAGATGTCATATTCATGTCCTGTGTCACTCTGCTTTTAATTTTTCCAATTAAAAAAGAGCCTGTTGATAATCATTTGCCGCTCATTGCAGCCTGCACAGTTAGTTCAGTAGTCATTATCCAATAAGGCAGTTCCTTCATCTTGAAGAGAATCAACTGAACAGGCAGAAGCACATTTTTTCGACTTCTCTGACAGTGGTCGTCGCCGAAGAGGTGCTCTTTTTTTTCTTTCACTTGCATCACATCCAAGACTCTCTGTAGGATTTGGGTGTTCAAAGGTACATGTCAGCTGTCCATCTTTAAAATGTTTGGATCATGTCCTTGAATCTGCGTTTGGCAAATAGCCTGTTTGAGCATTTAAAGACTCCACATATCCGGCCCATTTTGCTGTATGAACATGTGAAAAGCAAAAGTTTGAAAAATTGTCCATTTTAAAAAACAAAATCAGCAACAGGGCTTTTAATTGGAAAAAGGTCGATACATGTTTAGGGGACTGTGTAGTTCAGGATCCCATTCCACACTGGTGGTACGAAAGCTTACGTCTGAAACTTTCTGATTCTGTAGCAGAATGGAATATTACTTCTGAAATGTTTTAACCCTGCGAGGTGGTACGAATTTTTTTCACGCGGTGGCTGGGGCGGACTATTCCGTTGAGTCCGTTTCATTTTTTAGGGTTGCAGAGCCCTGAGTCCGTTTTAAAGGTATATTAATGCTTCAGTGGTTGTCCCCCAGCCTCTACAGCTCTTACAAACCAACAAACACCACCAAAAGTACATCACAGTACAGTGGGGGCCGTTTTCCAGGCTATACCGATTTGAGGGGGGCCTAACCACGAACCAGCCAAGCCATACCACCACCACAACACCCCCAACCAAAATAACACTTCAAAGACAGCCGAAAGAGGCATCTGACAAGTTCCAGACAGCTGTCACTGATAAAAAAACATTCCACTGCCTGCCCCAGGCACCGTTTTGTAAACAACCCATTAAATTGTACACAAGGGACCACTTAACACACAGTCCTATGGGACTTGCCAGGAGGCTGGCTCAAGGCTGGCCGGATTTTTTTGCATTTTTTCCGGCTAGGGAAGGCCCTGGTTGTAAAATGACTAAACCAGGTTTTTCAGCATGTACAGGGGTAGGATATGATAAGTAGTCGTGGAATTTGGACTAAAAAAAATTTTAAATGTTAACTAGCTCCAATGGACTCGCCAAAAGAGGCTTAATCATAAATGTAGTACGGAATGTTTGCAGTATTAAACATTTCTGCAAGTGGGCAGCATCTTGATTTGTGAAAGAAATTATGGGGGAGATGTTGACAAAAACGTGCACACTGATATAAACTGATATATATCATGAACATGGAAATATCATTTACCCCCTTTAAATTCCCTCAGAATAAAAATCCTGCCAACTTCAACAAAATTCTAATCCGACAGATGGTGTCATCTCGACATTGCGAGTACAAAAATATACAGAATCAAAAGGTTAAAAGGTAATTTTCTGTTGTGATGTGGAACAGGGTTCTCAACATGCTCAATTACACAATCCCCCAATCCCCAAACGTACCAAAGTTCAATACTGCACTGCCTTAGTGCTTAGTGAAACAGGTAGGCCCTCACTGGCCTCAGTGACTGTTTAATACTAAATGCTCTTAGGATTTGACGGCTCCCTTTCATGTTATGTAAAAAATAATGTTATGGAATTTTGGGGAAAATGCGACGAGCATCTTGTAACAGTTACATGTAGGTCTACATGCACGTTGACATTGCTCATGTCGATGTCAAATTGCTAACAGGTACACGGCTAGCTAGTTAGCGTTGCAGTGGCACAGCTAACAAGGCCAATTGCATCCGTGTACATTGTGGACAAGGACAAAATCATGTAAGCTTTGTTCGCAGGGCATGTCCTTGAAATCCTTCCCTAAAAACTCAACTTACAAAAAGGATAAAATGATTCTATGACAGAAAACGATGAGCAGCTGAGCGTCCGGTCCGTACCGTCCGTACATTAATTAACGAACGACGCTTGCAGACTTTGGGTTGCACCACACCAAATACGTACGCGCCCATTGAAAACAGTGCAAAATCGGACCGAAATAGCGCCTCCTGTTGACTCTCGTGAAGAGGTTGGCCTCTGTTTTCCCACTGGAAATTCAAGATTATGGCCAGAAGATCACTTATCGTTTCAATTTCATGGGGGTTAGCCACAAAAAAAAGTTTAATCGCCTTTGAACAAAGATACCCCCAAAAATAGCAGTAAAACTAACCGCTCAATTGTGAATGGAGTAGCCGCCCGTCGAGTGCACGTCGTTCCTTGTTTTAGAACTTTGTTATGATTTTGTAGCTAGAATGAGTGAACCCCATCAAATTGAGGACCAATTCGTAGCAATGCGGAATCATGATCGTTTTTCATGTTTAAGCCATATTCTCCTATATCTTTGTGTGGGTTGTGCCTAGTGTGAAGACTTCACTCCGTAGCTTGAAAGAAGGCACACAGGTGTTTTTTTGGGGGGGGTGATTAATTCTAGCAGAGACGGCAATGCTGTGATAAAAATGAACAAAATGAACACATTTTTGTAACCGTAGATAATCGACAAAAATCAAAGTAAGTATAATATATGAAAAATCTTAAAATGGTTATTACCAAGGTACGAAATTCCATTCCTAATTTCATCACTTGAACCTACTTTGTTTTTTGTAGACTAGCTAGTATAAAAAAGTTGAAATTTACCAAGAAGTAAACAAAGCCTTGATGCGAGCGAGAAGATTTCAATTTGCGTTTCCATCATTAGTATATTGTTTTAGGAACTCTTCGTATACTTCCCTAAGTTTTTTCTCTCCTAAAACCTCTTCTTGCATGGTCTGTCATACAGAAGTCTACCTCACTATCCCCCTTTTACTGGATTAGAACTCGTTACACCGTTGACCATTCAAGACCTGGAGCCATCTGAGTCATGTTGCTGCCTACAGAGAACCCTGCGTCCAAGAAGAACAGCCAGCCAAGACCATTTTTTCATATCTTAGTATTGTTTATTCTCGATCCGAGACTCCGATTGTCAAATTCTGTACTAGTGTATTGGAATGATGTTCACTCTGTAGCCATTTTCCGTTTCCAGCCTATGAATATCCCGTAGCGTGGGACATCATATGGGTCTCATAAGCCCTAAGACATATGTTTCCAGCCTATAGGTCCCCCTTACCCTAGGTCAGTTGTTTCCAGCCCGTAGGCCTCCTATAATCTAGGACATGCTTCCAGCCTATGGCTTCGTATATCCTTGGCAACCTTTCCCACTCGTCCCCTCCATAAGGCCGACGCACCTCGCTGACCATCTAACATCCCGAATTCTACATGAGTACCCTTTGGTTAGATTCCAGTATGGAATCCTCTCCACACTTCACTGCCTCTAAACACCATATTAGCGCTTCACCTGCAACACCACTCTGCCCTTGTGGAGAAAGCCCCGCCCAGCCAACTCCAAGTGCATTCGGCTAACCCAAAATCAACCAGAAAGATACTTCACTATGCCCAGTTGGAGCTCCAAGTGGAGGCCCCACTTGTGATATGGCCAGCCATCTTACAAAAAAATTTAATCGTTAGTGGATAATACCCAACATCACATCAAGAACTCTGACCAGTTTTGCCAACCCCATCCAAAGCCACAGCTAGATAACATCGTGGTAAGCCTTTGATGTTGTCTCCCTCATCAACGTTCTGACCTCAGATTCCACTACCATGCACAGACTTCAAGATGACAGACTTCGAGATGACCCCACCCACAATGACCGCATAAATGTAATCCCAGACACACTTCACGATCTGCTCCTGTTATGAGGAAGTGATTTTTTAAATTTTATTTTCGGTGGCCTTTAAATATGTGTTGAACGATAATACCGGTGTATCTAAGGAGGGCGTTACACAACATACTGTGACTGGAAGTTTCTGCCTGGAGTTATTTATAGGTTGTTTCTGGGAAGAAGAGGGGTCACGGGGCCAATCCACAGAATGTTAGACATTGTTATACCTTTGAGGGAATTAAACTAGGTGGGAGAAGGACCGGAGAAAAAGAGCAGAATAAAAAAGAGTTGTTCCTGATGAGCGCAAGACCTTGGAAGTGTCCAGCCTATTCTTCACTGAATTCCGATACGCCCCACCTCGCCTCACGGCGAATCATTATACTAATTACTTGCATCAACATATCTGGACAGCAGTCTTACCCACTTCTTCCACAAACTCAGCCATCCCAACAGATATCTCCGCAGCACTTAATTTCATCACACCAAGATATGATGGAGATTAAGAAACGTTTCCAAATGTTGTTGGAAATACATTGAACAGTTTTTGGCTCTCGTATATAACTGCTGATACGAAGTGGACTATATCTGTACAATCGGATCATAAAGTATTTTAAATCAACGTGATCAAATGAATTCCTTGTTCTTGTGTTTATCATGTTCATATATATTAACAAGATGTCGTATTCATGACAATATCACTTCACTATAGTTTTGCTACCAATTCTGTTGAGCTCATTAAATATTCAGAAGAAAAGGGAGGGGGGTGATTTTCCCCAAATCAGTTCGCTCAACCCCACCAAATTTTCTTGAATCCAACGGCAAAAAGTACCAAGTGATGCATTCGGCCAAATACCAAAGAAAAGAAAAAATCTCTTACAATCAAGATGGATCTCTCCCTGTAATCTCTTGTAAGAGCCCTAGGGATTTACGTTTAGTTGGAAACGAATTCCAGCGACGCCTATGCCGGGTATGGTGCTGTTTTGAAAATACGCCTTACCTTCTAGGCTAGAATTTATTGGAGCGAAGACGATTACAAGGATGGCTATAACGGTACTGCAGTCCATTTTTGGTCGTGGTTCCTGTACATTGGGAAATGTACATGTATATTCTTTAAGCACATAACGTCTGCGACCGTCTGGTAGCCATTTCCAGGGCCATAACTTCACAATCTCTTTTCAAGTCTGAGTTTACAGTAATAAGTGCAAAACGAGCGGGACTACGCCTAGTATACGTTGATGAACGTTATCCGACGTTGTATTTATTCCTATGCCATACATACATGTACGTTTATGTATTATGATGCGATAGAAGTCACTTGTATCATGACCTCTATTGTGGTCGTAGACTGGTTCCCGTACGTACTGGTAGCCTCCTGACACCTTACGTTTTCTGAAAATAGGGACCCTTGTACAAACGCACAAATCAAGCAGGAGCTGATAAATATATATATTTTTTTGCTTTTTTTTCTTCGTTACCGAAATAACTTTACCATAAATGGTTCACTTATCTAACATTTAACAAAATAACCACTGATTTGAAATAAATATCCGTAAAATGATTCATCGATGATAATCATTCAAGTTGAAAAATAAATTACTACACTATGATCAAAAGAGACCTTGCAAGGATAGGTACTTGTGTTTTATTAGCCTGCTCTTGGCCTGTCAAAATTTAAATATTTAGCATCCCAAATGCAGGGCTAATTGCACACGTTAAACCGCAGCTAGCTACTGGCCCGTATAATAGGGATGGGGGTTAGTCCATGGTAACACGTCAAGTTTCAATTTTGTTTAGCGAATTTTTTTTAACTTCTTTATGTAGAGACGGTACCGGAACACATAAATAAAGCGCATTGTTATTTTAGACGCAAATTAGGCTGAGGGTGCAGGAGTCCTTTATATCTACTTTGAATTTCATTTTCTAATTATATTTTCTTCATCGTCCTTTCTTATTACTCATTCGTGTGTCACAAGATAAAATACCAAAATAAACATTGTACAATGTTTACACTTTCCCAGAAACGTGTTGCACAATATACAGTACATTTATCACAAGAAGAATTGTTGTTTAATGAACTCAGAAGCATTAATCCTTAAAGTGTCGCTGCAATGAATTTTTCTTCAACACAATTTATTTGTTTAAATGCATTGAAATGTGCACAATTCGAAATTTGATTGTTTCACATTGAAATGTGAATTCAAAATTATCAATGTTTTTGCAGACGACTGAGGGCGCTGTTTCTGTGAAGGCATTTAGGGAAGACATGGTTCAGTGCATAGGTATTTCTGTTCAAATTGTGAGGCCAGAATGTACTAACTGAGAGCATTTCTGAGAGGGATCGGTTTTATCTTATTGCTATGTACGTAAACAACAATGAATCAGCAAAGAAGAGAAAACTTAGTTCAGGACAATCTCCTAAGACACAGGACTTTTTTGTGTACAAACCAATGTAACATGGAGGCTTCTTCCTGAGATGACATCGCAGTTTGGCTCCTGAATATGGAAATACTCATTAGCATAAAAACCAAAAAAAGCATAGAAATACCCTTTAAAATGGTGAATACCAATAAAATGGTGCATGCTTACATATGTATGCTTGTGGGGTATTTCCTTCGTTCTCGTGTACAAAACTCTCACACAACACGGACAATTTTCAAATCACTGCTATTTCAACCAAATTCAGTTTCCTGGGTTGAAATTTCGACCATCACATGTCCATTATATAAAACACTTTATTTTGCGACAGATGAATGACACTTGAAAATTCCTCCTTTTTGAGTAAATTTGAAATATCTATTTTGTGAAATTCTTGCGGGGTACCACTTTAGTACCCCACAAAGATCAAATTGGCCTTGTGGGGTACCTTCCATTGTTCCGGTTCCCCACAATTAAGGCACCAAGTACTAGCGTATGATGGGCATGGCATGAAACTCACGCGTACGGACCAATGACCGTGCGCCACCGCCTCACCGTGACGTTGTTTGCATTATTAGGGATCGTCGCAAGTTTTGTTTATCACTTAACGTTGCCATGTAAACACTGGTGTAAGGGACAAAAGCCTAACACTTCGGGCTTAATCTTTATTTAACTTATCATTTCATATATCTTTACCATATATATCCTTCTTTTTTCATATTTCTTTTGCTTTTATTAACAACTTTTCTTCTCATTTTCTGTTTTATATCTACATCTCAATTATTTAAACTTTCTGTTTTTCTTATTTTTAAATTTTGTACAGCAAATTACAACTAAGGCAAAAGGAAAAAATCTGTCAAGATTTTCTAAATAAATAAAAAGATGGCTGCATTTTCGCCAGTTACATGTTGCCTCGAATCTCCAAACACGTCGGTTTCCCACGTCGCTGCATGCTCGTGCAGTCTTTTTATGTTGAGGTGGCGGCTCTATTTCAAACCTGAAAAAATACACACAACCACAATAATGTTGGTGATTGTAGAACAAGTTATTGAGCCAAGAGCTCAATTTAAGCTAAAAGTGAGTCACGCTGAAAATATTCACCAAAAGTACGGGGGGATAATCCCTGACCATAAGTAAAAAGAAAAAAAAAAACTAGGTTGAACATGACATGACCAGGGACCAAATTGTTGTAACTATAGAAACTCAATATGAAACTAGAGAGAAGTGTTTGTAAACAAGTACAAACACAGAGCTGGTTCGGGACTGTTTTACCAACAAGATAAGTATTGTTGATCAAAGCTCTCAAACTAACCCAAATGTTGGCTTGAAAACGTGTACAAAGTCAAGGGGCTGAAATATTGAAAAAAAACAAGAGTAAATCATATAACGACGTCATCATGACGTCATTTATTTACAATAAATTCTGTATCAAGGCTGTCACTTTGAAAACGATCAAACATCCGAAAGGGTTCAAAATTGTGCCTTGGAAACGTGTACAAAGTTAATGGGCAAAAAACCCTATTTGGAGAAACACTGCTCTTTAAGTTCGTGTCACGTGATTTGCGCTTAAACTGAACAATTTTATGAAATATTACTTCATATTCGGACTCTTAAGCATATTACAAATAAAACAACACAGCGTAAAGTACCCGATTTCTCCTTCGTTCTGATAGTAATCTTGCGCCAAAGTTAAAGACTACTTGTTCACTTTTGTTAAGTAGAAAAACGTGAACAAAACGTATGGGCAAATATAAAATATTGAAAAATGAATATAAAATAAGGTGATGATGTCATTATGACGTCATCCCTTTGCAATATCTTGCATCGGGGNTTCATTTTGCGACAGATGAATGACACTTGAAAATTCCTCCTTTTTGAGTAAATTTGAAATATCTATTTTGTGAAATTCTTGCGGGGTACCACTTTAGTACCCCACAAAGATCAAAACTGGCCTTGTGGGGTATATTCCATTGTTCTGGTACCCCACAATTAAGGCACCAAGTACTAGTGCATGATGGGCATGGCATGAAACTCACGTGTACGGACCAAACAGTGCGCCACCGCCTCACAGTGACGTTGCTTGCATTATTAGGGATCGTCGCAAGTTTTGTTTATCACTTAACGTTGCCATGTAAACACTGGTGTAAGGGACGATAGCCTAACACTTCGGGCTTAATCTTTGTTTAACTTATCATTTCATATATCTTTACCATATATATCCTTCTTTTTGTCATATTTCTTTTGCTTTTATTAACAACTGTTCTTCTCATTTTGTGTTTTATATCTACTTTCTGTTTTTCTTATTTTTAAATTTCTACAGCAAATTACAACTAAGGCAAAAGAAAATAATCTGTTTCAAGATTTTCTAAATAAATAAAAAGATGGCTGCATTTTTGCCAGTTACATGTTGCCTCAAATCTCCAAACACGTCGGTTTCCCACGCTGGTGCATGCTCGTGCGGTGCTATCTTTTTATGTGGAGGTGGCGGCTCTATTTCAAACCTGAAAAATACACACAACCACAATAATGTCGGTGATTGTAGAAGCAGGTTTTTGAGCCAAGAGCTCAATTTAAGCTAAAAGTGAGTCACACTGAAAATATTCACCAAAATTACGGGGGATATAATCCCTGACCATGGATAACAAGAAAAACAAACTAGGTTGAACATGACATGAGCAGGGACCAAATTGTTGTAACTATAAATAACCCCGCGATGTCTATGGGGGAGACAAAGTGAAACAAACAAACCAGTTTGTCATAAAACAGTTACTGCTCACAAGAGTAATGGTTTGACAGACCCTGTCGATGACTGCGCTGACCCCCTGGCCCGAAAACTGCGAGAAATGTAGGTTCAGAGACGGTCAGCTGACACCCACTGACGGAGACGAGGCACAAAGTAGTACATACAATGTAGACGTATTTCACTTGATTACTGAAGTACATAGGGCCGATTTCGAGAAACTCAGCTTATCTCACTTTAATACTTCAGATGAGTTGATGGAAGGGTAAGCTGGTTTTGCCAATTAAATTATGTAAAAAAGATATTATTCATTACACTTCCCACAAGTGGAATAATTTGCCAGATAAAATAGTTATAGCCAACCTCATCAAAGTGGAATTCAAGAGTTCTGTCAGAAAACACATCTACATTCGAAAGCACATCCCCAGGCTGTATTTGAAGTACACGTAAATGCATTTCAGTTTGTGCCCTTATTGTCTTTTTCTTTTTGTTCTCGCCCTAACGGATGCAAATGTGGACATCTCCAAGCGTGACACTGTTTCTCGAGCAGTTTTCTTCCTTGAAACCGTTACATGTATGTGACTCTAGGACAGCATTCAACTGTAACGGTGTAAAATGAACGCATGAATTGAGAGTTCAGCAGTGTCGCTATGGTTACAAGTTGTTGGGCAGGTTCAAAGTTTAGTGGAAATGATCCTAGGACAGTGAGTCGCGAGTTCGAACAAGTTACATTGTATCCTTCGTAATACACTTCTCAACTGTTCTCGGAGTCGCCAGCAGCAGGCGACAATGTTGACCCGTCACTTTGACTAGGTATCTGGCAACACTGCGTCTGTATCTTTTCATATGTTAAAAAGAAAGTGTGCCCCTGAAGTTTTCATTCGTAGCCCAAACAAACGAATTTTGCATACATTAACTCACTCATCTCGCTTCGTTGGCACACATTACATCATTTTAATGCTAGTAATAAAAAATACCTGAACCAATAACTTGAGCAGAAACTTGCGAAAACACTCCCCGGAGTTAACTTTGTATGTAGTCTGTTGCCTATAGATTGGGTGCACGGGCGTAAGTGCCTGGGAGATGGAGTATATATCCTCCCTCTTAAATCTTCGGGGGATTGAACAATATGGCCCCCCTTTTTGTGAAGAGCAAAAGTTCAGTCTGGTTAAGAAAAACTTTTCAGGCTCTCCAACACACCCAAAATGCGTATGCAGCATTCAAAAGGGGAGTACAATTGAGGATGCCGGAAACGCCACAATCCCATCTTGGAGGGCTGCTGAGGGTGAAGGTGTTGACATAGATAAAAGACACAGACGCCTGAGCTCGAGTCACTCAGTTTATATCTGAAAGGAGCAAGCGGTGTGCGGGCTAGCGGTAAGAGAGAGACCGCATTGGGGAATCAATTACACAATTACAAAACTCACAGAAAGGGAAAGAAAATAAATTCCATAAGTGAAATGCAAAATCATCATCATTGAAGACCCTTTGTGTATGAATGAAGTTGTAAACAGCAGTTCTTCAATGAGGCGCATTGTCGAGGTGTGAGAGCACATCCTGAAGTTCACAGTAAACCTCTTTGGGGCATGTAATTTCATTATAATAATGTAAAACTTCCAATTACATGTATACTGTTACGACAAAGAATTACGTGTAATTTACCAAACTGCAATACCACAGTGACAAATTAATTTGTTACAGCGAAAGTAATGGCTGTGCATCATTTACCTACTGTAGAAAGGGATTACTCCCCAAAGGCAACAATTCTCAAGAGATTAAATCCAATTTATTCGAAACTCTGATCTTTGTGTTCTCATGTGCATGTATTCTGTGAGTTAATCAACCAAAATACACCATGCACAATGACCTAAAGAATCAATCTCTATAACCAAGAGGGGCCTTATACACACTTGTTCTATAATATATACACACACAAATATCAATAAAACCACCGTTGGGAGAACCCGTGACTGAAATTGTGATTAAAGTAAGTGACCGGCCAAATACACTTTGCCGTAGTGGTAGCCCAAAACGCGGTGGCAGTCTTCATGAACTGAACTCTTAGTGTTTTTTCTATACTGCCAATGAACACTACAGCTTCCATGGACTACTCGTGAATTTTCGCCACTTTTGAACAAGAACTCTATTTCCTTCGTTTACAACGAGGACGTTGTAAAAACTCAAGAGGGAATAGTGTTGCGCACCCGCAAATCTTGCTAG